GTTAAACTCAAAGACATTGAAGTGAGTCAGACGGTGATCTCAGGTGTTTATTCAGCCAGGTACCTGTCAATCACGGTGAGTCTCCCTCAGCCCAGTCATCCACTACATCTTCCTTTAGGCCCTTGAAATGTGTTCAAGAGAGGGACGGGAGTCAGGCAGAGACCAGTCAAAAGCAGAACACCTGAGGGACTATTTACAACACACGAGACAAAGAAGACAGCTAGCCTTGGTACATGAAACAGAACTTGTATTTTGTCTCTAATATGTTGCCTAGAAACAAGACAAAACAAAACCCACTTTCTTCCTAAAAAGACATAAGGCTGATGTGTGTGTACTAAAGGCAATGTCTTGAGACATGGCTGTTACGGATTTGATGAAGGCACCAACAGTGGGCCTCCTTATTGTTCTTGGTAACTAACAAACACTGACATTTATTTGTAAGACCCCATAACAGCATGTGGGAGTACTCATTGAAATTTCTCTACCATGTTTACATTTTATGATAAATTAAACTTCGATCCGCTTTTAAATGAAAAAAGTTAGAAATCTTCAAAATTCTAACTCTTCTTCTAAAAAAAGTCTGAGATTGAGAAATCATTCAGTATACATACAACCCATCCTATGATTTCTGGATTTTTCTCCATGTAGCCATGGTTGTTCTGGAACTTGCTCTGTAGATGAAGCTGGCCTCAAACTCAGAGAGATTTGCTTGCCTCCTGAGTGCTAGGATAAAAGGCAAGAGTCACCACCACCCATTTGATTTTATCTATTTTAAGGAGATTTAAAGTACTACAAACTATTGTATCTCTGGAGAGTTGCAGTCACAACCATGTCACTAAATACTATGGACCATTTCTCTTGAGACTTCCCCTTAGAAGAAGAAAAGAGGATTACACCAGCCATATAGCTAAGAAATATAAACAAATCTGAAGAAAAATGAAGTTTCTAACTTCCTTCACCACGTGCAATCAAAACTAGTGTTACAGGAGCAAAATCATCACCATTCACAAAGAAGAAAATGATTTTAATGAACAGGAGTTAAGTAATAATTAGGAACCCACAAGTTTTCCTGTTCATATTTGGGGACAAACAGAACTTTCCATAAGTCATATGATGTGCAAATCCTACTCACTGTAAAACTCTGTGTATACTGGCCTTAATTTCTCAAAAACCCTGAGTCTTTCATGCAGAGCTTACCTTGAAAGTGAAAAATGACAGAAATATCAAAAGAATTCCCAGATATTATTAGAGATTATCAAGCTGGTGACAATGACCCCTGGTTTTGACCCCTGGTCCACACCATAGCTTGTGAGTTTCTGTAGTTTTTGCCATTTTCTAGCATGTATGGTTTCAATAGATTTATTGTTGTTCTTGTTGAAGGAAGTACTATGAGATAAAAGGACTGCTGGGAAATACAGACTACCTTTTTCCTTCCCCACCCCCACCAGTGAGAAAAGGCTCTCTCACCTGTATGGAAAGATTACACAGATATTCACTTCACCAAACTCATGACAAGAGTAAAGATTTTATGACATGAATTGAGACAATTGGATGCTAAAAGAACAGTGCAAACTCTTCCTTCTGCTAGGTTATTAAGGTAGAGTTAACTGCATGTTAGGAAGGACCAGGGAGGGTAAACTAATGAGTCTATTGGGAAATGACAGATGAACACATGGCTTTCCTACAGACATAGAAAGCTTGTCTAAGAACAGCTAGCTAATACTGGTGACTGTGTATTCTTTTTCTTTTGCGATGCTCTACTCTCTCAGCGCATCGAACAGTTCTTATTCCAGCAGAGAGCTTGGGGATTGTAAGTGATGGGCATTCTCTAGACATTTCATTTTGGATTACAAAAATCAATGCCAGATATAAACAAGAAGTGACATCCTCTGCTGCAATAGAGATCTTTTTCAAACACAGGCTTGCACTGAGAAGGAGAAACGAGGCTGAAATGCTGCACATGGCCAGGTAATGCAAAGGAATGTGGAAGCAACGGAAAAGAACTTATGAGAAAGCATCTTCAACAAATGGTGCTGGCATAACTTGATGCTGGCATGTAGAAGAATGCGGATAGATCCATATCTATGGTCATGCACAAAACTTGAGTTCAAATGGATCAAATACCTCAGTATAAATCCATCCACACTGAACCTCATAGAAGAGAAAGTGGTAGGTACATTTGAATGAATTGGTACAGGAGACAGCTTCATGAACATAAGACCAGTAGCACAGACACTGAGATCAACAATTAATAAGTGGGACCTCCTAAAACTGAGAAGCTCCTGTAAGGCAAAGGACAGAGTCAACAAGGCAAACAGTCACCCCACAGAAAGGGAAAAGATATTCACCAACCCTACATCCGACAGAGGGTTGATCTCCAAAATTTGCAAAGAATTCAAGAAGCTAGTCTTCTGAAAACCAAATAATCCAATTAAAAATGGGATACAGAACTAAATAGAGAATTCTCAATAGAGGAGGATAAAATGGCTGGGAGACACTTAAGAAAGTGCTCAAGATCCTTAGCCATCAGGGAAATGCAAATCAAAACAACTTTGAGACACCATCTTACTCCTGTCAGAATGACTAAAATCAAAAATACCAATGACAGTTCATGCTGGAGAGGATGTGGAGAAAGGGGAACACTCCTCCATTGCTGTTGGGAATGCCAACTTGTACAACCATTTTGGAAATCAGTATGGAGATTCCTCAGGAAAATGGGATTCAGTCTACCACAAGTTCCAGAAATTCCACTCTTAGTCATATACCCAAAAGATGTACATTCATACAACAATGACATCTGGTAAACTAGGTTCATAGCAGCATTATTTTTAATAGCCAGAACCTGGAAGCAACATAGATGCCCCTCAACTGAAGAATGGATAGAGAAAATGTGGTGCATTTACATAATGGAGTACTATTCAGCAGAAAACAACAACAAAAACAACAATGGAATCTTGAAATTCACAGGCAAATGCATTAACTAGAAGAAATCATCCTGAGTGAGGTAAGCCAGTCACAAAGATAAATATGGTATGCACTCACTCATATATGGATTTTAGACATAGAACAAAGGATTACCAGCCTACAGTCCACACCACCAGAGAAGCTAGGAAACAAGAAGGAACCTAAGAGAAACATACATGGTTTCCCAGAGAAGGGGAAATGGACAATATCTCCTGATCAAATTGGGAGCATGGAGGCAGGGGACAGGTAGCTAGGAGAATGGGAGTGGAGGACATGAGGGAGCAGGAAGGTTAAGTCGGGGGAAGAATAGAGGAGAGCAAGATAAGAGATACCATAATAGAGGGATCCCTTATAGGTTTAGAGAGAAATCTGGCACTAGGGAAATGTCCGGAGATCTGCAAGGATGACCCCAACTAACAATCCAAGCAATAGTGGAGAGATTACTTTAAATGCCCTTCTCTGATAATGAGATTGATGATTACCCTATATGTCATCCTAGAGCCTTCATCCAGCAGCTGATGGAAGTAGAAGCAGACACCACAGCTGAACACTGAGCTGAACTCCTAGAACCCAGTTGCAGAGAGGGAAGAGTGATGAGCAAAGGGGTCAGACCAGGCTGGTGAAACCCACAGAAACAGCTGACCTGAACAAGGGGGAGCTCATGAACCCCAGACTGATAGCTTGGAAACCATGATAGGACTGATCCAGACCTCCTGAATGTGGGTGTCAATGAGGATACCTCAGCAATCAACGGGGCTTCTGGAAATAGACCAATATTTATCCCTAGCATAGGAATGGACTTTGGAAGCTCAATCCACATAGAAGGATACTCTCTCAGCCTAGACACACGGGGGGGGGGGAAGCTGGAGGATGCTAGGCCCTACTCCAAAGGATATGATAGACTTTTTGAAGATCTCCCATGAAAGGCCTCACCAGCCCTGGAAAGCAGAAAGAGGATGGGATAGGGAGTAGTTGGGGGGGGGCAGGGGAGGAGGGAAGGGAAAGGGAACTGGAATTGACATGTAAAACAATCTTGTTTTCTAACTTAAGTAAAAAAACAGAGAAAAACCTCACAGTTTATTATAGGTCCATAGTCTCAGCAGCCATTACTGAGATGATGAAACATTAAGACATTAAGCCCAAGGGACATCCCAGATGGACTTAACCACACTCATTTCCATCCTATATTTTTGAGATCCTGTTTACATTTAAAATTTCTTTGGATTCTTCAACTACAAAATTACTAGTATTTACAGTTAATTTCTTTCATTAGGACAAACAATAAGCAGAAAGTACAGATTTATTATGTCCTTTAGTTAGCATTTTGTTCTGCCTACATAGTGGCAATGTGATAAGGTATTTAGCCAGTGTGCACACAGGGAAACAGTGAGTTCTTCTTTAAATACCATGGTCAGACATCACTGCAATGAATTATACTGGATTTATGTCTTTGATTAGCAAAGCTTTAAATGCTAGCAATAATAAAACAGCATATGTGCCCTCATATGAAATGTGTGTTCCTAGACATGGTTTCCTGCATCCATAAATTTGTTCATGAGTTTAGCTATGTATTGCTAAATTGTGTTCCTTTTGCTTTTGGGTATTTTCACAGTAACCATCTCCTAGAACTGGTAACACTTTAGATATCAGCAGGAGAGCTAGATACAAATATTAAAAAAAATGAAAACTATTTAACAATAATATTCCCATGCCTGTTCTCTGTCATTTCTGAATTTAGAACTTCACATCGACGAGTTATATTCCCATCTTATTTTAAATATTTTCTCTTCACTTTGGTGTCAGTAGCTTTCCAGGCAGCAATTTTAACTCAGCCACGGGGGTCTCCTAAGGTCATCAAGAAGTCCTAGCTTCGGAACATTGTCTACTCCAAAGTGGACGCTGATATCTAAGGTTGCAAGTGGGTGAGAAGCAAGCTCAGGTGATTCTGTAGGCAGGGGACAAAAGAGATAATGCTTCTCTGGAAGTGAATAGACCAGACATGAGGAGGAGGGGCATCCGTGGACATCTCTGCTTACCCCTTGTTCAGATTCCAAAAGCTCTGTTTTGACTCTGACGGCCGGCATCCCATCGAGCATTAGCATTCTGTTCTCAAGAGTGTTGAGATTCTGTGAACAGAAGAGAGAGCAGCATTCAGTTGGGAAGCACCAGAAGAGGACATCCCCCCTCAGGTAGCCGTCCCTCACTGCCATCCCTTCAGTACTGCCCACCTAATTCTGTAAGAACGAAGCATAATTAAATGAGAATATCAGCATAACCAATTATCCCCTATCTGAACTTTCATTTGAAATAATGACTAGGAAGTTGACTGAATCAATGTGGCTCTCTGACCTCCGGGTTGGAGGTCAGGCTGTAATAAACTGCAGTGCAGAAACATTACATTAATTTATATGGGGCTGGAAAATTTATCACACCTTCTCAATAGTGGGAGGAAGCAAAAGACAAAGTTTTCTTTCAGCCTTACTTCTACAGGCTGTATTGTGTACAGACATGCATATATTAAAAATTCAGCTGAAAATACTCTTTGTCCTCTTGAAGCCTGAATAATCTAAAGACAAAGTAATATGATCCTAGATTCTCTTAGCCCCTAAGGAACTATTTTAAAACAACCTAAACAAGTTTTAATTTAAAAGTGAATAGCTGAAAGTCATCAATAAGAGATACTTTGTTACCATTCTCTTCACTACTTCTGAAAGGGAAGCCGCATTGAAACTGTGGCTCAGCAGATTTTGAGTGTTGGTGAGAAGCTGAAATTAAGTTCATATTTCACTAGTTCTCTCTGCTTTAGGCAGTTTCGAGTCAGCCAGCTACAAAGGCACTCAGAAAGTCACACATAAGGCACCCAAATTAGACTCATCACAAAACATGTTTCAAATGAGACAACCTCAAATTGATGTGCTGGCATGTTTGAACCTAAGGTTTCAGAGTTGTCACTCTGCTCAATGGCCTTACAGAGGTGACACGACACCAAAGAGCTCTTACAAAGAAGGTATACATATATGTGTATGTGTGTGTGTGTGTGTGTGATAAAAGCATTTTACATATACATGTATAGATGTATATTAAACAAATATAAATGTACATTCTCACATGTGTGTATAACTTGTTTCTTATGGGTGAATTTTATTAGATAATGAGAAATGCAACTAACACAAAATGTGTTTGTTCAAGATTATTCCAAATTTCTGTGTGCATATATATATATATATATATATATAATATATATATATATATATATATATATATATATATAGGAGTTCCTAAATATTTGCTTATAGGGTGACAAAGGTTTAGTATTATTTCCAGAATTTGACATTTTTACTTGTCAGGCAGCTGATTTTCATGAAAGCAATTCAATAAAAACTCCATCCCAACAAATCACAGTTGGCTATTTTGTTACCGAATTCTACAGACAGGGTGCCTTACAGGGATGCACTCCCAACTTCTCAGTTCCTGACTCTATGAGATCATCCAAGAAGTGCAACCTAGAGGTTCTCTCATCACAAATATTTTCCCTGAGAAATCAACAAGAAGGGAAAGGAAAAATACACTAATTCCCTTTAGTCCTAAGAAGTATTGAGAAAGTTCACATCCCCTAGACTATTACAATTTCCTGTCATATTTTCCCCTTAGAAATGTACAACATTGTGGGGTTATTTCTCATCCTAATAGACCCTGACAAAAGCAACTACAATTTTGCCAAGCATTGCTGGTGAACTCAGTTAACTTCTTCCAAACTTAAAATCTTTTCTTCATTCCTGAGGTTGTTTACACATGAGGCATCGTTCATAGACTCGTCACTTGTTGCCCCTTTTGTAGTGTTAAGCTACTCTAGGGGATGCCTTGCTGCATGAAGCCCACAGCTCTCTCTCCACTCCACCAGCTTCTCCCGGGTGCTCTGGGACTCTCCCTTCACAAAGCCTCCCAAGGCTGCCTGGTTGGTAGACAGTGAAGGATGAGCTGACACAGCTTCCTACCCTGGAGCAGGTTTTGCCCCGATAGGAAGGCTAGAGGAAACCTTATAAGGGAAGCCTGGGCCAAGCTGGAGAGAGGACAGGAGCTGTGCGACAGGAAGGTTTAATGAACTGTTAGAATCTGATTACAGGCTAATGTCCCTTTTAGTGCTCTGGACCAATTTACAGCTGGTGTACTCTAACCCCTGCCCCCACTAGCTGGGATAAAATGCACGCTAGCCACAGTTTTGAAGTTAAAAGCTGGTAAATCATGAAAACACGACTGGGTCCATGGCCCATTTAGCACACTGAAATCAATTTACTTTCACATTTTTTTTTAAATTTTCATTGTTGGTCTTGAAATTCTACAGTCAAGTCAAAGTGTACATTTTAGCCTACTATAAGTGAAAACGACCCCACGGTTATTATTTAGTTGTTGTTTAATGAAGTTGTTTTCCTTGGGAATATCTCACTTTGCTTTTCCAGGAACATGCCCAGCCACAACCATAAGAGACACCATAAACAGCAGTGCGCACCACTGGGAACATGGCCAAGTTCTTTCAGTCAGTAATTGATAACCAGTGTAGACACATTGCAGCACACACATATTCATCTCTGCACCCAGGATTCAAACCCCACTTAACAGACTTAGAAGCACTGTGAGACCCGTCTTGTTCAACCATCAGGAAAGGAACGGGGGGGGAGATGACGTATACAATAGTCAGACAGCATTGACAATACTGCCCTTCAAAATATTGGTATATTCATTTAGTAAACAAGATTAGGAGCATAAAATGTCAGTTGACCATAGATTTTAAATACACAATGGGTTCTGATAATCTGAAGTTGCTGTCAAACATGTCTTGGTATGACTTTATTTAAAACATTTCTGCTATGGCATCAATAGCTCTACTGATTCCCAGGAGGTAAGCAAAATGATACCACCACCAATCTGGGGGTCCTGGTGCTATTTGTGTACTTACATTGTAATCAACCTTTGGATATTATAGGTTCTCAGAATTATAATTTATATTATTCATATATAAATATATACTGTGTACTACTTGTTTCTCATAAGTAGATATTATTAATTAATCTAAAAGTCTCACAAAATTTGTTAGTTGGCTATTATACAAATCCAAGTGAACTTGATGAGAATGTGACATTAGATATTTCCACATGCCAAGGAAGACTGGTGACATAGTACTCCAACACACGATCATTTTCTTGGTCAGAAGTCATATGAGTAGTGCAGAGGTGACTGGTCTAAACACCTCAAAATATTCAGCATTGATGAACAGCAACAAGGACTGATCTTCAGTGACAGTGTTTCAGACATCCCTGTAATGGAGGTGATTCTGGTCAGCTCCTACAACCAATGCAGCTTTTTTCCTCTCCTCCTGGCTATGAGTCAACTGGAATAACAAAGGCCTGGCCAATCAGTTCTGAGCTGTTTAATTTCTATATTAGATTACAATTCCTAAGCAGAAAGTTGGTAATGATAGCTGTTTTTTCTCTGATGACACGGGAAATAATTTTTTAAATATGCGTATCTTCTTCAAGATATGAATGGCTGTGGGTGAAGAGACCTCAGTCCTGTACCTATGCAATATTGAAAAGTGATGTCAGGGCCGGATGAGTGGTTCAGGATTCACTGCACCAGGATGTAGGCCTAACTTTATAGCAAACTCTTATGGGCTTCCAAGGTACACATGGTCGATGGCTCACAGTACCATCAAGTGGGTACCTTAGCCAACAGTGAAAGTGATAGAATCAGATTACAAGGAGCTTGAGCTTCTGCATTAAAGAACACTTCTACCACACTATCAAAAAATATATATTCGCTTTCTTAAATCCTACCACAGATGGACTTAATTCAACTAATAGGTCGACAACAATTCTGAAACCTGGGCTGGAGAGATGGCTCAGCCATTAAAGACTAGGCTCACAACCAAAAACAATTCCAAAATCTTTGCTGAAACTCAAGAGAGTCCATGAGGCCCTCCTCTGTTTCTGGGTAAAGGTCTCATTCACCTATTGGATTACGATACTCTTGTGCATAGGCAACACTTTCAATCAGCTATTACAATGTAACATATCACATAGCTAAATGAGACAAGCATTTTTTCCTCATTATGATAACAACTTCTATTTCACCTTTCCTGTTGACCACATACTGTGCTAAGAACTGTGCTTAAGGATGCACCTTTAATGCTCACACTGACACAGGAGAATGCTACCACTATCTAAGGCTGCCGTATCAGAGAGGGAAGGAATAAAAATTCCTGAGGTCCCACAGTTAGTCATTGGCACAGTATTATAAACCCGGTGCCTAACCCAACTTTGTTCTTCTCAATGATACTCTATTTAGCTATCCGTTTCTGTGCTTTGCTGCCTTATCTCCATGATCAATACATGCAACCTACTCACAAATGCAAAAAAAAATGAGTATTGAGGGTTCAATGAAAGGGGTTTTTAAGTCTCAGTCCCCATTCCTCCCAAGGCTCAGCTGGCTTAGTCATGGAACTAATGTAAAACATTGGTGACTGGCAACATCAGTATGTTAGGGAATAATATTATTAAGTCGAATCAGCTTCTTGTTTCAAAGCTGGTTCACACTTCCTCCTGTGAAATTGTTCGAACATATTTTTAGCTCACTGAAATTATGTCTGGATCTGTAAATGCCTCAGACTTCATTTTGCCACTTGGTCCCATCTTGGTTTCAACATCCGGGAACTCTGTGTAATCCCATCTGCCACGTTATTTAAAAACCTTCTTGGTGGCTTGCTCTCTATTATCACAATATGAGGGTAATATCGTATTTTGTGTCTTGTAGGCAGGACATATAATCATTGGAATTACATTTCACTTATAATTGCTGAGATTAAGAGTAAGTGTGCATTTGACAATGCTCCCACGAACTCACTGGTAACTCAGTTTTGTAGAGGACACAGTAATACCCAACATACCCGAAGAGACACAGAACAAACATTTTAAACTGATGCTTTACCCTTTTAATGTCTAGCTCAGCTTTCCATATTTCATTCCTTTGCAGTATTGAGAAGGGTGTTCAGAGTAATGAATATAAAGAAGCAAACACACTTGTGTGGGTTTTTGGTTTTTTTTTTTTGGTACTGTTTGAGATAGAGTATTGT